AATATATCTAATATTTTATATCTTATTATTAGAATTAATTATTAATCTAACAAATAAAGATAAAGCAGCAAATAATAAAAAATATAAAATTAAAAGAATACTACAGTATAAGTTAGAAAAAGGACATATCTATTATCTTATAAAATAGAAAAGATATAAACCTGAAGAAGATATATAGAAATTTATTAAATATTTAAATTACCTTAAAAAGATTTAAGAATAGAGATAAAAATATAATTAAGAAAAATAGAAAGATTAAAGTTAGTATTAAGAATAAGATTATTATTTTATAAATTATTAGTAATAGTTAAAAGCTTTTTAGTCTTTTATTATTCTTTTATTTATTTTACTTTTACTTTTTTTTCTATTTTTTCTAATTTTTCTAACTTTTTAATGTTTTTTATATCTAATTAAATAAATTAATTAGTATACTTTTATAATAATTTCTACTATTTATTAAGATAAATATATTTTACTAAAAGAGCTTTAATTTTAGTATTTATTTTATTCTTATTCTCTTTTAAGTATTCTTAAATATAAAAAAGTTTTTTCTATATAAGATTAAATAAAGCTATTGAAATATACTTATAATAACTGTTTTGCACATACTCACTATAGTATAATAATATTTCTAATTTTATATAAATCTTATTTAATAAAGAGTAATAGAAATAAGATAAAAGTAATTCTATATCAGATTGCTTAATATATAGTGTAAGATTATTCTTATTAATATTTTACTTTAAAGATATAATTAATATAAAACTATAAGATTATATATTTAGAATATTTAGAAAATTAAAATTAATTACTTATACTTTAGGGAATATAAGTTATTTATTAAGCTATTAAGATGCTAGTTTTTAGAGAAGAGGATTATTAAAGAATTAAAATATTATAATTAATAGATTAGATTAGTTATTATAGAACTAATGTATATTAGAATAAAGAATTATCTATAAAGTTTTAAGGTTAGAATAATAAAGCTAGCAGAGCTGTTGCTATATTAATTATATTAGTTAGAATAGAGTGAATAGAGCTATTACTATATTAGCTATAATAAAGGAAAGTTATATAAGAATGTTTATTTATTATATATTTAATTTTTTTCTATTATCTTGAATTAACTAAGATAATTTAAGTATATGATCTTCTATTAATTAGGATATTTATAGCTTTATTCTTATTTCTTTCGTCTATTGAGATCTTTTAATCTTAGAAGCTTATTAACTTCGCCCGTTAATAGCTATCCTAGCTATACTCGACGGTAATATAACCGAAGTTTCCGACACTAGTATACAATACAAGTAGATAATCTATAATAAAAATAATACTATTTATAGCATATATTAGAAGAGAAGCAAGAATATTAGAATAATTATATTATAATTAGCTAATAATAAAAACTATAGAAGGAATAGTTAATAATATAAAGGCTATATATCTCTACTTATAATAAGAAATAGAGTATAAAAGATAAATCAATGCAGAAAGATACAACTATAAGAATTAAAAGAAATCTAACTTTAAAAAAGAGAAGAAAGTCTATCTCTTTTAAAAAAATTTATAGACACTATAAGAAAGTAATAAACTTAATTATTTATAATTAAAACTATTTAAAATTAAAAAAAAAAATTAGAAAAATTAATTATAAATTTAAACTACTAGATTCTATAAAAATTCATCCTATATTTTATATATTATTATTAGAATCAGCACTATAAAATATAAAAATATAAACTAATATTATCATTAAATAAGAAATCTATAAAATAAAAAAGATATTAGTAATTAGAATATTAAGAAATTATAAGAGATATTTAATAAAATAAAAAGGGTATAATAAATTGGAAAGTATTTAAGAGATTATTAAGAATCTTGCTAGGGTAAGAAAGGTAATTAAGAAGTTCTATTAATATTAGAATCTAAAAGAAGAAAATCCTAGGATAAGAGTGTATCTAGTAGAAATAGTTTAGGATTAACAAGTAATATTTTAATATCTAAGAAGAATATAATAATATTAAAATACTGCTTATTTAGAGAAATTAAAATAGAATCTTTAAGATCTTTCTTATTAAGGACATCTATAATATTTATATTATAATCTAATATTTTATTATCACACTCTTTAAGAAACTTCTATTATTTTTAAATATAGTAAATTTTAGTAAATAACTTTTATTATATTATTATATATTATTTTAACTAAAGCTTAGCTAATTTAAGATTAGATTTTAATTTATTTTATTTCTTTTTAAAGAGTAATTACTTTTTTAAGTTATAAAAATGCTTTTTATATTTATAATTATAATAGATATATGAAGTATAATTATAGCTTTTAGAATCTATAATATAAACTTTATTTTAAGATAAATAATACTTATATAAAGAGTTAGAAGAAAGATTATTCTTTTAAATAAAATTAATCTAGACAATATAATATGTAAGATAATTAAAAATAGGCATATTAATATATTTTGAATATTTATCTATAAAAAAAGTAGGGTTATGTTAGGAATAAGGATGAGTCTTTCTATTTATACCTTTAGAGACAAAAATCCTAAAAAAGGGGAGTAATATTATAAATTCAACTTATATAATACTAGATAGAAATTAGTACTATTAAAAAAAGATACTTAATTAAAGTAGCTAATATTATAGCTAGTTATTTATATATATTAATATATAAGATGGTTATTAAATATATAGGCTTATAGCTAATATAAAGAAATATATAATCAGTATACACTATAATATATATTATAGAGTGTAGGAGAAATATATATAGCACTAAGTAAGACTATTAGATATATAATTAGATATATATTTTAAAGTATAAAATAAGTGTAGGGGATACTAACTATATAAATATACTTATTCTTATACTTAATTTTTACTTAGTATAACTCTTTAATCTAAGTTATTTGGTTATATACTAAGAGGGTCAGCAAGGTAAATCTACTTAAAGTATTATAATATTTCAAGGTGCTTTTTTTATCTTAGTTGTGATTAATTAATCTTTATTATTAATAAGTCTGAACTATGTCTGATCTTATTGATAAGTTACCCTTGTGGACCTTTATGTGGTTCATCCATCGTATCGTACCTCGACACAACCAGTGACAACTAGGGTGGATCCAGGCGCGTGACACTTATTAATAGCTATCCTAGCTATACTTGACGGTAATTCAACTGAAGTTTCCGACAATAGATTTTTAATATATAATTAATTACTTTAATAATAGTCTTAGATAAGCTCTATATATACTAACTAATTCACTATTTAATTGTACTTAACTGATATTTAAATTGATATAGATTTCAAGATATTTATAAGCAAGATAATTATGAATTACTAGATAAATAAGAAAATAATATTAAGATTTTTAATTAGATAGTAAGTTAACTATAAACTTAATCTAGATTTAATAATATTAATTTAATTGCTTTAAAGTTATTCTGAATAATTTTAGCTTTATAAGCTATTATATAAGCCTCTAGAAATATAGTAAGAAAGTTGATTTTATTAATATAATTAAAGCTGAATTTTATCCACTGTTTAATAAGCTATTTATATTTTCATTTTAATACTATAAAATAACTAATATTAAGAGGTTATAAAAGATATAAAAAATATAAAGGTATATAGATTAGAATAATATTATTATTAGTATATATATGGTTAAATTTAGTAATTAAATAGTTTTTATAGCTATTAAGAATTAATATATAATATTATCCTATTATACAATTATTTATATAAGAAATGAAATAATTAATAAGCTAATTTATGCTAATCTAATCTATTATTTATTTATTATCACTAATATTAATTTTCTAATTATCTAAAAGAGTCTCAGACCAGCTTTTTTAAGAATATTTAATTACTTTAAAGATTATATATAAGGATAAGATCTAACTAATAGAATTAACTATCTTAATTATAATAATCTATTCTTAATTATTAGATTAAAGTAGATATAGACAGTTATAATAATTACTTTTAGTAATAATCTTTGCACTTATATAAAGACTTATTATAAAACTAATCTTATTAAAGTTATATATATCCTCTAATAAGATTCTATATTTAATTATAGCCTTTTATATGTAATTAAAATGTTTCTTAATTATTTTTAAATCTTTATATTTAGCACACTTATAGTTATATCTTTATAAGAATTATATTTTTAGCTCTAAATAATATTTAACTAGATTATAAATTTAATTCTTGCTAACTATTTAGTTTCTATATTAGGAAAAAAGAATATTAGCTATATTTTGTACTATAAAAGATTAAAGAGATAATCTTTACTTATCTAAATCTAATATCTATTTTATAAGTGATTCCTCTTTAGATTTAGTCAATCTATAATTATTAGCATATGTTTAAGATCTTTATTAAATATCTTTTAATTTATATTAAAGTATTATCTAAGAAATATTATAAATCTTTACTGCTCATTCAATATTAAGAATTCTTTTATTCTATAAATTAGAAATCGCTAATAAGATTTATCCTTCTTGTTTCTCAGAATTTAATTAATTTTTATTATGAATTGGTGGCATATTAATGTGTTAAATTATAGAGAATTAATATAGAGCGTGGTTTCCAGAGAAAAGTGGCCACTCGGTTGTGGTGCCCACTCGGGTGTGGATTACGTTATACCTCTTGATTTTCGAACAAGCGGGAGCGGCACATCGGACAGGAGGAATGTCCGCGATTCAGCCATGTTGCTAGGCAAGAATGATGGAATGCATTCTTGCATTCGCGGTGGACCAAGACAATTGTTTCACAAACATGGACTTTTTCTAGATATTGATCTGCACTCTCACGCAGTCGGGCGCGCTGTGGTCGAGGTATGCTGATGGGAAATTGTAGTAGTGAATAACACATTACACTGTTTATACAAAAAACGGTTTTCAGCCCTATGGCAGAATATATCCAACCAAAAAAAGACAGGATCAAGCTGCAAGTTGCAAAAGTTCAAATGGGGGATTTACCAGATTTCGTCGTCTGCCACCAATCGGCCTTCTCGCCTTGTATCTTCAATCCATTGATGAAATGTTTTAGCTTGGATTGAACGCCTGAAACTGGGATTAATATCGCTGCCTGGTTCTCCTATGTCCATCTGTGTACGAAGGCGGCGTAGTCTTCTGTTTTCTCGCAACACGATATATCTATAGTAACAATTAATATGCGATCCATTCTAAGATGTCAAGAAACTGGAAAGCAAGCATGGCATCACTTACAATGGATAGCCAAGTACAACGAATAAAAGTATAACCGCTACCGCTATTGCAGCAGCATGTGCTCCAGTCAGAGCCATAGTGATAAAGGTGATAATCTCGCCATAGCTTTAAGCTCTTAGATCCAGCGCAGTGTTATAGGTAGATCGTGCCATATCTGTACAGCTATGAATATATATATCAGGTATCTGGGGGCTGTGTTTTACGGTGTCGTAATCATCCCCGGTATTTGATCATATGTACGCGATAGCCAGTGGGTCATCCACTTTCTATGTATTTCTTGCACAGCCTCCCTTGTGGCTCCGTTGATTCGCCGACAGAGACCTGCCACGAAGCTCCCATGGGTTGGTTACGCTGGCGGGAGCCTTGGTACGGCGGACGAGATTAGGGAAGGTATTCTTATATAATTAAGCGTCAATGAGACGAAGGAAAAAAAAGAAATGATGTATTAGTTTGACAAACTAAGGATATTCGGGGGCACTTATTATAACGAGACGCTAAAAGAGCTCGTGCGTAATTAGGGAAGACTCCTGTCATTTTACTGAATATGGCCCCGGAGGAAAAGGATCATAGATCTGGGCGATATTTTCAGTAATTGGTTGGAAGACCGTAAGGTGATCGCAAAAGTGAAATCACCGGGTTTCTCTACATCCCGAGCCACGGGGTAGATGAAGCGAATATCAACGAAGCATACACGTACTCCGCTAGTTAAAGATTGGGGAATATATCGCAATCGACAAGTTCCAGTACCTTTCTTAATATCTGTCTTCGCCCCCTAGATGAAGCGAGCACTACATCTTCTATAGCCACTCCTTCCAGGCTGGGATGCGAATCTCTCCTCTTGCCGTCGTCTTGGAGAGGCAACTTGGAAGCTCTGAACGTCGAGAACTCAGAGGTATAGCCTGCTTTGTGACGAAAATTGCACTGGTTGATCACACAATCATTTCTTTATCTCTGATATCCGGGGTACATATTGTGTTTTGCGAACTTTAGTATTTATCCAACCTTGCGCTTGCGTCGCTTACGATGAAAGCATTCCGCTTGGCGTCACATTTTGGGGAATACACCAATTGCCCTGCAACCCTGGTGAGATATATTTAATAATTTACAAGGATGCAGGGACTGGAAGAGGATAATACATGTCCGATAACTAAGAGAGGCAAGATTGGTTAGCATCGGAGTACTCGATTGTATCGGTTGTATCGGTCATATCGAATATTCCATCTTCGCTGCTCACATACACGACCACAGTATTTCCGCGTCGGCCGAGACGGGACTCTTTACGGAGGAGGCCGAAATGGATTTAAAAAGAGACAGCTTGTCGAGTTTGTCCTCGACTCGATTCTACTCCATCAAAAACAAGCAACAACTAGACAGTGACAAAAATGGATGCGGTCCTAAACCCTAGGGAGAAACACTATGACAGCACTCAAGATCCTCATCTGCGGTGCAGGTATTACGGGCAATGCCCTGGCTTTCTGGCTTGCAAATCTCGGCCATGAAACGACGGTGGTCGAGAGGTTTCCCAACCTGCGAGCCTCGGGACTGCAAGTTGATCTACGCGGGCCTGGCATCCAGGTCATCCGCCGAATGGGCCTCGAAGAGCTCTTTCGTGAGCGCTCGGTACCAGAACAGGGCTTACGGCTTGTGGACGACAAGGGCCGATCGTGGGGTTACTTTCCTGTGAACAAATCTGGTAGAGAGTTGCAGAGTTTTACGACCGATTTTGAGATTATGAGAGGCGATTTGTGTCAGCTTCTTTACGACACTACAAAGAAGTTTGACCGTGTGAGGTATCGGTTCGGCATCTATGTACAGCAGATTGAACAGACCGATCGGTATGCTGAAGTGATCTTCTCGGATGGTGGCAAGGAACGATTTGATCTGGTCGTTGGCGCGGATGGTCAGGGATCTCGCACGCGAAGTATGATGCTCCAATCCGACAATAATGATGGCAAGCTCGATCGTAGTAGTGGTTATGAGGTTCCAGAAAAATCAGCAGCGGAGGAACCCTTTCAACCCCTTGGGGTCATCGCAGGGTATTTCACTGTTTATCAGGAAGTACAGGAGGCAAAGGATTACGATGCTAGCATATACCTGACAACGCAGGCTCGGGGCATCATGACTCGCCGACACGACCCTCACAAGTACCAGACATATCTGTTCTGCAGTGCGAACAAGTCAGCGCGACTCAAAGCTGCTACCAAGGGCGACGTCGACGAAGAGAAGCGAGCACTGACGGAGGTTTTCCGCGGTATCGGGTGGCAGTCAAAAGAGGAGATTCTGACGGGACTGGCAGAATCCGATGACTTTTATTGCGAGCGCATCGGTGTTGTCGTGTTAAACTATTGGCCGAGTCGTCGCATTGCGCTGGTGGGAGATGCAGCTTACTGCCCGTCCGTCATGACTGGTATGGGTACGTCCTGCGGCGTCGTCGGGGCATACATTCTAGCTGGTGAAATTGCGAGATACTGTGGAAAGGACTCTGAAGGAGCAATGCATGGCATTGTGACCGCATTGGATAGTTACGAGCAAAAACTAAGGCCGTTGATGAATCACATCCAAAAGGGTTTAACCAACAATCCGAATTACATGGATCAATTGCCGTCCTCGAACTGGGCCATTGGCCTGATGTACGTGCTTTTCCGAGTCGCCTCCCTCTTGAGGCTGGATTTCCTTGCACGGTGGGTTCTTCGCGAAGACACAAACGGATGGGAACTTCCGGAATACCCAGAGATGACTGCTTAGCTTCAGCCTTGGACATATTGTGTAGATTAGTCGTTACTGTCTCTCCCCTCTTCATGTTCAGAGATATTAACATTCATGTAAGGTCAAGCAAAGATGCAAAATACATAGTTAAATTGCCCATTCTGAAAGCAACAGAGAATCTATAAAGTCAAAGTCGACGTTATTGTCGTCCAGAAAGTTTAAGCCGCCAGCCCCAAACTCGGCTGGGGAGGACACATTTAGGCCATTGGATCTCCACAACTCAAGTACAAGGTCCGAATGCATCGTGTTGCTGCTGTTGTTGTTGAGTTTATCAGTTGCCAGCCCTTATAAGATCTCATGGCATGTGTCTAGCCCATCATTTAGAGACTTGGGAAGATCCCCATCCGTTAGCAAGCCACTGAACCGACCTTCAGCTTGGACCAGCATCATGCGAAGAAACTCGTAGCCCTTCACATTAGTTTCGCCGTGTCGCATTCTATCCTCGGCGTATTGTACCACACGACGTGCATCCTCGAGCAGAACGCTCTGGCGAGCGTGACTCCTTCTTTTCGCCGAATTCGATGTCTCTATTTCAGGGTCCGGTGCCAATTCCAAGAAAATGAGCAATGCGCCTCGAGTAATGATATCACGAAACATACCACCCCCAGTGACAAGTAAACGACTGTAGAGCCTATCTTCGAGAAGCGCAGCAAGGTCTAGTGCGGCTTCAAGGCAGACTTTTTGAGAGTGACTGTAAGGCGCGTTTTTCTTGGCTTTGATGGCATATCGGAAATGAAGACACAGAGAAAAGCGACGAAGGAGGTGACTGCAATAGTTTTGCGCGAATTGAATTGTAGGGTACGCGTCGCTCATAGAGGGATTTGTATCAACAGCAGCGGTGAGGTTACGACAAATTGCGGCTAACTCGTTGCCAATGACTAGAATGTGATCGTATGAAGTCTCCTCCTGCAGACTGTTGATGATCCTAGCGACTCCTAGTCTAAGTGGAAGGGATTTTGCTAGCAGGGACGGTAGAAGAATCGTGGTCGAATTTTTAGGGATAAAGTCTTCTTGAACTGCGTTCTCGACATCATCATCGCTCACATTATATGGCGGTTGTGTATTGTAGTCCGATTCCTGAATCATCGGAGATATACCCGAATCCAATGCCGCTTGCACATTGAATTCCAGAATAGTATACCACAGTCGTCTTCGAATTTCCTTGTCCTTCACAGTCATGTGTCCAAAGTTGTTTGGATCTTGATGCAGGCCCATATACATAGCCATCCTCATGAGTGAGCCCATAGAGATCCACACAAGATCCGGTCCTACCTGGTATATCTGAGGGAAAGGAGGAGCAGGCACTGAACTTGAATGCCTTTCAATGTCAGACGACTCTTTTCCAGCGGTGCAGAAAGCCAGGTTTGACATATATGGATCCAAGCTCGAGATTTCAAACATATTTCTCGGCGAATATGAGCATCGTCGTGCAATATGCCTGCGGCTGTCATAACCAGGAGAAGCTGCAGCAGAAACGAACTCTCCGCGGTTTCAAGATGATCTATGCAACTCTCATACTCGGCCATGAATGCGGGGAAATAAAGTATACGGTAACACATTTCAAATGTTTTGAAGTAAAAATTGACTAATTCATGCACCACTTGACGATCAGGAAAGGAGTCGTGAATAGGGGCAGGGAGACACCTCCGACTCGGCCGCTGTCCCTTGACTTCTCGAGCTAAGCGCTTGCATTTGACAGCTGCCTTTGCGATATCATCTGTAGGAGAGTGGCTTGCGTCTTCAAAGACTTTATACTAGTACTCACTAACTGGCTGAAGGATGGAAAGCTCCTCGGCCTTGGGTGATTGTAAGCAGGTGCGGGAGACCAAGCAGGTTAGTTGGGGCCATACCATGGAGAAAGCAGCCATCCAGTGGCCATGGCCAAAGACTCTAGTCTTCGAAACTATGCCATGAAAGCGGCTCGGGGTGGTAGTTGGCGTTGAAGCACGCGCATATATACTCGTCTGGTGTGATGCTTCCGAATCATTCTGCGTCCCGTCGTCCTGCTGCGCGCTACTAGCTGCCACCGACCTTGTACGAGGGTGTTCCTCATATGCACAATAGGTGGAGTTTCCGTGAGCTTTGCACTGGCCGCATGGTTTGGCTCGGTCGCATCGGACTTTGCGACGACGGCATTCGGTACAAGAATAAGCAGGACGCCGTCTTTTTCGAACAGAATGCACTGGACTGAGACTGTTCATGCTGAGTACCCATGAATGGTTGTGTACGATGCAAGCATGGGTTCTTGTATGGCCATGTAGTAAATATGTTGGAGGGAGACTCGGAGGTCAAGCTCGATCCTGGACGGGGCTCGCAGCTTGCGGCGCTGAACCTTTTCCAGTCATCCGAAAAAGATACTATGTAGCCCTAAGCCCTAAGCTTCTGACTGGCCATCGCGACTATGATGAATACATGTCAATGCTCGTTACAGGTGTGTGTCTGAATATTGCATGTCTATGAGTATGTAAAACAACTCATAGACCCGTCCATAAAGACCTAAATACCGACGGCTCTTGCAAACAATATGAAGAATACGGACTATGCAAATGAGAATCTAAGAGACTGTTCAATAGTATTCATATATATACACAACAAACAAGTCATGAACATTCATCGGAATATATTAGCAACGGCGTAATACTTATATAAATCAAAATGCCAAGCGCGGTCTTCGATAAAATCAAAATTGTCAAATCAGATTTGGTTATGCTTTGCCGAATAATAAGTCAAAGTCGTCGACGATACTTTGCCTAAAGTCGACTTCCTCTTTCTTCGACACCCAACCAATTTCTTGACCCAAGTCGGATTTTGTAAGGGAGCTAGCGAAAGCATGTTAGCTTCATCGCAGGGAAAGACGGTGGGCATATACTTACTTTGACGCTAGACCAACTTCTGCTAGCTGCTCGTTTCCCCCAGTATACTTCTCGGCTGCTTCACTCAGGGTAATTGATTGAGGTTCTGGGGATGTCAAATGGCCAAGTTTGTAGCCAAATTCACCTATAACCTCGGCTAGTTCCTTCCAGGAATGCCTCAGAGTGCTGGCAAAGTAGATACCCTTCCGCCCTGATAGCACAACTTCATTCCTTAGGACCTTGGTTGTGAGAAGCTCGAAAAATGCAGCCAGGTCCTCCACATGAACATAATCCCATGCACAAGCACCTTCAGCGACATACTCTGCCCGTCCAGCTGCAACTGCACCCTGAATGAGGACCGGTATGTGGAATGACTTTTTATTGAAGAATCCTGTGCCTCTGCCGTAGATTATAGGTGCCTTGACGACAAGGGTTTTGACGCCTGCCTGTTCACCAGCCTCAACGGTCTTAATATCCGTTGCACGTTGAGCATAGAATTCGATCTCCTCGCGATGCTTCATGTAGCTGTATATGTCGCTCTTATCGGAAAATTCTCTCGACTCGATGAGTTTTTCAGTGATGGGCCGGTCGCCAAGACTTGAAGTTCCACTCGTGTGAATGAAGTATTTCTCCTTGCTGGTATCTTGATTGTCTGCAAGCCCGAGAATCAAGGCTTCTACAGCCGCAGGGCTTGTTGAATCTGCGGCATGGATGATGATATCGTAGCCACTTGCTGTGCGTCGAAGATGTTCTACATCTTCAAGACCGATAAACAGAATGGGAGTCACCCCCTTGGAGGCGTACAGCTCGGCCTGCTCCGGATTCCTGATCAAAGCAGAGACAGACAAAGTCTGGATATCCGGGACTTGCGACTTGAGCAGTTGTGTGAGCACAGTACCACCGCTAGTTGCTGTTAGTTGAATGCCGACCTGGGAATGAACATGGGATTATTGCAGCTTACATGTAGCCGGTGGCGCCAGTGAGAAGGAGCTTAGTAGGGGCCATTGTGTTGCAATTGTGTGGGTGACGGTAGATAAAGTCAAGATTGAGACAGACGTTGAGATGCTTTGGGTGCGAAGATAGCAGAAAATGTTTTGCTTGAGCTGTTTTTCTGAATCTTAACGAGGAGGGAGCCTGCGACCTATTATGCTTGCCAGCCCTAAGCCAAATTGTTGTGGCGGAACACGGAATCCCGCTGACTCAGCGGCACCGCAAATTCCGGAATCGCCAGAAACCGAATTCTCCCAAGCAAAAAGTCTTCCGTTGCTCAAACCTTCACAAATTGAAAGCCATGATTTGTAAACTTTGCATGATCAATATTAACTTCCAGCTGTTTCGATTGTGACGGTATGCATAAGAAACTTTGTTTTTGTCGATACCTAATCCAGCTCCTCCAATTGTAACAAATTCGACGGCATGTTGGCCACCCGTGCAGCTTCAGCTACGCTCCTCGCTTCAACTGCTCGTTTTTTGACGCTCTGATCCTGACGATCAAGCAAACTGACATGTCGAGTATGTTGCTTTTCGTGGATTTGATCCTGGTGATCGAGTAACTCTATTTGCCGGCCATGCTGCTTTGCGTCTACATTCTCACGATCCCACATCATCTGTTTTTGAATACCAATCTTTGCCTCTTCTGTTTCTCGCTCCTGCGCGAGCAGTCTGCTCCTGTATTGTAGTTCCTTTGCTCTTCCAACCTCAAGAAACGATTGTTGCTGCATTGTCTCATCACTCAGGAGCCTAAGCTTGAGTTTGCTTTCTTCCTCTAGTTGATTGCGACGTTGTTGATTGAGCGCCTGCTCGTGCATGAGGGCCAAGCTATGCTTATTCTGAAAAGTGCGCTGCTGATATGCATCTCGCTCTTGAGTCTGTTTCACCGTCTGCTCGTAGCGCTCGTCTGACATACGCAGCTCAAGCTGATGATCCTTCAGCCGAACGTCTCGCTGGTGAGCCGCAAGCTCGTCCATACGTGCCATCTCCTCCTGCTTCTCACATTCCAGGCGTTTCCGCTTGTTTATCTCTGCTACAATATCCTCGGGGATGCCAACTGCATGTTCAGGTTGATCATCGTATCCTCGAGATGAATAGTAGCGGTCCTGACACCGCTTTCCCAGAAGAAGTCGCATAAGCTGTTTGCCTATATTTTTTGGACCTCTGTGAAAGTGTTCCACGTATTTTGTCGGTGAGTAGATGAAACCTTCCGCATCCTTGAACTGATGAACCGGTTCGTTGATGAATTTCCACACCTGCGGAAATTCGAGAAGCGCTTCGGTCACTTCCAGAGCGTTCGTGTCGTTGTCAAGCGCAAGGTGAAGAATGGATTTGTTGTCGCCACTACCTCCGTCCTTTTTAATATCTTTACCCTGCTGGTTGTAAAGTAAAATTTGCATCGTCTCCCGAAGCCTTGTACACCAAGTAACGTCTTCATCCGAATTTGGGCGGGTTGCTTTGAGGCATAATTCTTCCAGCGGACTTCGCCCTAATCCGGACTCATCTGAATGTAGTAATGATGGGAAACTGATATCATGGCCGGCAGAGAGAAGCAGGGATACAATCTGCGGGTGGGCCTGGCGAGTTGCTTCATGCAGACTTCCATCATCAGGCAGTGCACCGGCGTTATTCAGAATTTGGACCATCTCCGTATCTCCGTTTCGACTGGCGTAGAATAGTGCTGACCGACTCTGGTAGTCGCGACTTGATAGATCGGCTTTCTGGTTGACAAGTTCACGCATAACTTTGTGTCGCCTGTACTTGGCTGCAAGTATTGTCGCCGATAGCCGGGTTTTTGCAGTCACGAATAAGGAGTCTAGCAAGCCAAAGTCAGCGTTGATAACACACACAAGGGTTTTGGGAAGAAAGAGAAGAGAGTTCCAACCTTTGACGCTTTCAGCTTGCAATACTGCTACGATAATCTCGTCACTCACTCTAGGATTTTCGCGCAACAAGGACCACACCACGAGATTCACATCTTCGGTGCCAAAAGCAGGGTTTATCGTGGCTACTGTAGTGGAAGCTAACGTAGAAACGCCATTTTCCAATAAAAACCGGATGAGTTCTCCGCCTCGGGGAAAGCGTTCGACAGCCATGAATAGTGTAGACCCCTTGACAGAGATCGGACTCATACTATTTTCCACAAGTACACGCAAGTATCTCAGCAGCGCTTTCTCTGGTACAATCGCCTGGATGAGAACTGGAATAATAACCAATGGGTCGGGCTTGCCATTGATAAGGAGCATTCGGAATAAATCCATGTCTTCTTTAAGGGCGGCTTGAACGAAATATGTACCGTCCTTTGCATTAACATCTGCGCCATGGGACAGAAACAAGCCGACTTCTTTTTTGGATATATATCCCATTTTTGTGGAGTTTGCAGCTGAAAAGACCTCAGACAAGGCATTTTCGACAAGAGACTTTTGAACACCATTCTCTAAAAGTAGTTGACCTACTTTGAGGCCACCAGAAAGGCTCATTGTTCCAGAACTTATCATCCTTCCAAATACCCGATTGATAGTTTTATTGGAAGGATGTTGGTGGAGAAATAAGTCAACTAGATCGGGTGATGAGGCTAAGACAGCCGACTGGAACGCATGCCCGAGGTTATACTCCACATTAGCACCATGGTTCATCAATAATCTGGGAATCGTCAAGTCGAGGGGATCTCGTTCAACTGCTTCAATTACGGCAAGACTTAGGGCTTCGGAGTCTCCGCGACCCCCAAACCCTGCTTTTATTAGAGAAACAAAGACATGCAATCTCTCATGACTTGAAAATGTTGCATTTCTCCTTGCCGTCTCAAATCCACTGACGAGTGACCCTCTGTTTGGATTTCTGGACATCAAAAGGTCAAAAAGTGGAAGTCGACTGCGGCTAATCGCTGTCTGGATCAAAGCACCGTTTTTATGGTCAACTGAAGCCCCGTGATCAAGTAGAAGGTTGATCAAGGAGAATTCATCTACATCTGTTGCTGCTGCTGCCGCCGCCGTGGATGATTGTACTTGTTGCAGGAGAATATCATCTTGCCCAACTCCAGGACCGCCATGGCTCAGAAGCAGACGCATCATATGTAGTCTGTCATCTTTGCTGCCTCGTATTTTGCTGGCTATTTGCAATAGTGTTGGATAGTGTTTCTTCTCCGGTTTCTTAGAAAGTAATACCCGTGTTGTTTCGATATCGTTGTTCCTAACAACACAACACAACGCAGCCGCGTCCTTGAAGTCAACGCCTACACCTAATTCTAGCAGAAGGTGGATGACTTCTTGACGACAGCCCATGGATTCGACTTCGAGGATTAATACCACGTCTAAAATCCTCCTATACTCCACACAACACTGAAGCAGTCGTCCAGCCTTGTCGATGCTATAATTTCGGGGATTCAGTGCCTGTGGAACTAATCTCTCCAATGCATGTGGTTCCAATGGCCCGCTATCGCATATTAGTCTCAATGCAGTGGGATCCTGGAGAGCCAATGCAGATTCAATTGCCTTTCCGTCTTTATAGTTTGGATCCGCGCCATTTTCTAGAAGCAAGCTTATGATACGCGCTTCACTATATTGGGCGACGGCGTTCACAAGTGTTTCGTTCAGAGCACCCTGTTGCACTTCATAGCGTAACAGAATTGACATTATATCATATGTGTTTGAGTTATTGACGAAACTGTAGGATTTGAATACAAGAGGCAAAGCCGCCGACACAGTTTCCGATGCTGGTTTGGCCTGACATAGTAGCTCGAGGGCTCTCAAGTCGCTTCGTGCTGTTGCAATCTGGATAACGTTCTCGTTAGCACCAGAACCAACGAAGTCGACAGATGCCTTGTAGCGAATCAAGATACTGGCGAGCTCGTAATCGGTGCCTAGAGGGCTGTCCTCCCCCATCACAGTGAGAAGAACTTTGTGTAGCTTTCTGCCGTTGACACCCTTCCTCAAAATCAAATGCATGGCGTGCCGTCTGACGGAAAGCGTATTTATGACCATGGCGTCGGGGATGGCCTTTGCGAGATTCTCAGGAGTGCAAGGAGCTATAAGTAAAGCTTCGAGTAGGCTTAAATCCTGTTTCCTTAAAATGTGACGCACACAGGCAGCATCATCGTAGTCTAGAGACACTCCAAGTTTCACTAGTGACAGTGCGAAATCATCAAAGCCTTTAGTAACGGCACGGGCCAAACAGAGACTGCGTGTCTCCTCGGTAACTCCTTTATTAAGTAGAAGCATTGCCACGCTGCGCATTTGGTTTTCTGTTGCTTCGTCTGGGATGGATTCCAGGGCTCTTCGCATTCCCCTGGTTGAGACGTCGCTATGCAGAATTATCTCCACGAGATCAAGTCGAAGGCTTTGTACTGCGTGTTTCAAACCTTCTGCATCTCTTGAATTAGGTGATGTCCCGTGTTTTATGAGCAGGGATAAGGTTGTGGTGCGTCCTGCCTTGACAGATTGTAACAAAAGGTCTCCCAATGCAGAATGGTTCGCGTCACCTCCAGCACAGAGCAGCAAATCCACGAAGGAGTCTCTCAAATCATCGTCTTGCATTGTGCAGGCTATGGAAATTGCATTGTGGAGTGCAGTCATAGTCAAGGTGTTTTGTGATTTCAGACAGATTGAAGAAAGGTCTCTCAAACTACCGTTAAGAACAGCGGCCTCTACAGCCTTGCCTCTTGTGTAAGTTGGACCGGCACCATGTGATATAAGCAGAGACACGAGATGCGAGTGGCCTTGCTGGACGGATTTGATCAATGCTGTATTGAGAGCCGCCGCTGTCAACGGATTCGGTGCAGATAAGAACATGGAGACCAGCTCAAAGTTTCCTTGGATCACAGCCGGGATAAAGTAGGTTTCTTCCAGACCATTATTTGGGTTTGCATGGTACAAAAGCAGCTCTCTGATCATTGGCATGTCTTCCCGTTCCAGCGATATTGATAAGGCTTTGTCTTTTGCTGATTGCCGTGTGCCACAACTCGCCAGAAAAGTGACATACTCCAGAGATCCCTTTGCTGTCACGTATTCTAGCCAGTCATTTTCTTCATACAGACTTTTTGCCTCGCACGGATATTTCAAGTTCACATCGAAGACCTCATCCGTCGTGTTGAGATCGAGAATTGCCCAGGCAACACCTACGGGACCGAGCGTATGGATATGACTGTCAAGAGCCACATAGCGCTCATACCTGGAGAAAGTCCACTTATCGGGGTTTGCGAGAGACTCGTTCTTCCCTTTTGTGCGGAGAAATCGCCGTTTTTGTTTCAACGGATCTTTCCACGACTCGCTTTGTGTCCGCTGATGGATGAGGATTTCCTTTGCCTTGGAGACATCCTCATCGGATGCCCCATGGGATGCTGATCCTAAGGGCTGCTGCAAAATGCTTAGTCTTTTTGTTTCGACGATGCCGGCATCGCGGGCAATTACAGACAGCCGTGAAGGGTTCCTCATGCTTGATATTTTTCTTTAGTACGCTTCGTTTGAGCAAAGAGAAGAAGATAAAACTCAGGGCTGTCGAGTATATAAACTGCAACCGAAACCATCTGTCACTGAGCAGAGTTGTCTAGCATCAATGTGTCACCAACCACCAGGCTGAGATGTTGGCATACGAGGCTATCATAGGTGCGTTCATTACACTGGCTGATGCGTCTAGCCGCCGACGCCGAACGCGCTCCTCCAATCAATCCGTGTGGAGGAATGAATTCTGAAGCTTAGTAGACACATGAACTGAATATTTTTAGAAATGGGATTTGTGTTCTTTTTCGTACATTGTCAACAAAAAAATAGTTCAGTAAGTATTTTTAGGATGATGAAGTGGCGACCATCCATCCGCGACTAGGGCTCTGTGAGAGAATGAAATGTCACATAGTGTGCTACATTGCTTGCGTCATGGTAGATCCAGGGCAGTATATATTTCTCTGGAAGGTTGTGGGATCATAAATCATTACAGACACGCCTATGTTTTACGTACCACTTTAAGGATATTAAAATGTAATGAATAAACTTCGAATACCTGACAGCTAGGTATCAATATACCGCATAAGGTTCAAAGAATAATCCAGTTAGCTGGTCAGGTCGATGTATATGCGTCCCGCCAGAATGTCAACTTGCGGCGCGGCCACAACCTTCTCCCCGTCTTTTTCAACAGTCAGCTCGTTCATGTTAAAGATATTCACCCTCTCTGCCTTAAATGGCGCTGGAGGGTTCATCCAGACTTTATCCACTGCGGGATGGAGGGTTTCTATGTTGATTCCACGGAAGCCTTTGGCGGCGGCATCCTTCATTTCCCAGTGTGCCATCAGCTTCATCAAACCCAAGCCCGCGTAATCCACGCGCGTCGACGTCCCCGTCCGCATGATGACCTGACCAGTAGCCGTGGGCTCCCAGGATTTTGCATCTCGCGCATCGATCTCGTGGAAATGCTCGTGCATGGCGGCGAAGAGCGGGAGGATGTTGAAGAGATCGGTCACCCGGGAAAGGTTTAGGGGATGGAAGCCATCATATGCCATGCAAATGGAGACTATCGGGCTGTCAATCTCGTCGAGAAGCTGCTGAGAGGTGGCAGTCAAGTTGGTGTCATCCCAGCACAGCGCGCCATCCGTGGCTGCCGACGCAGGCCGCTTGAATTGGTATTCCTTGTCATACACGGCGTAAGACAGTTGTGAGGCTATGGCTGCGCTTACAAGGTAGTCGACCGATTTATACGAGTCATAGCAGCGCTTGGTCTGGTCGTCTGGGTGTGCAACGGACCACATTGGCGAGTGGAAGATATTCGTGTGCGACAGGATTGCCGATGCAACGGGCACATCCTTAGCCTCGAGCGGGCGCACTTCGAAGCGCGGGGTAAGGTCGGTTTGGAGAACCATGTTGCGTCTACTGTTTTTGTATTTGCTAAGATGTCGGGAAATGCTACGCCGCTGTTGGATGGGGTCGTTGTTCAGCTTGTCACGCTGTAAATGCGATATTTGGTTGTTGGGGGTTGGGTCTTCCGATGCTGAAGGCCACGCACGGTATTAGGCGGCTGAGGTAGATACTTATTTTAGTCTGGAAATCTGCTAACTAGCATGTGACTGATTCATTTCCACGTATTACCGATGTATGAGCCATAACTATAGCATCTTGGGGACTGCCGTCTCGACCACTGGGTTTGTATCCTTGTTTACAGCAGCCATATATATCAACACAGCATAATATCTGTCATACAGGTGAATATGTCCAGAAAAGAAAAGTAGTGTCGTACAAAGATACAGCCACTACCAACATGGCTCTCTTTTGCTCTCTCTCAGGTCATATCTCTACTATATGAAGGCTAACCTTTCGCTGTAGAAACCCAAGCAAGTCATCTATTTCCTCGGGGAATTCCTGGTACTCCTTCCATGTGACATCCATTTTCAGCTTATCCGATAGAAACTTTGCCATATCCCCCCCCCCCCTCCCCCAAGTTAAACAGAAACCTTTGGATCAGCGAATCCATGACCCAGGAAAACCGGTGTTTGGAGGATAGGAGAGTACTTTGCTGCTAGTTGATGTATGATATCGCTATTTTCATCACTGCTGTGTACGTCGGATGTCGTGATAGAATAAGTGGCAGACTGAGTATATCGTGCATAAGGTTTGTGGCATCTATGATATCACTGAATTGATTGCTTCGAATTTCTTTAGACACAGAATTGAATCTGGACTAAATTGAAACCTGGGTTGCTTTCACTGTATTTTGGGGCATATTTGCCCTCAACGAGCCTGCGTATTGTCTAAATTGGATTCACTATTGGACTTTTCCTTTGATCTCCTCATGTAGGGTGATAATTATAAGAACAACTTCAAGTGTGGTTCTTGGAAAATTTTGTCAATACTATTGAAAGAAAATGCCACACACCACCTGGTTGACGAAGTTCGGTATAAAATAAATCCAACACTCTTAATCATAACACTACACTCCGACAACTCGACATGAATTAACCCGAGATTGTCGCTACTAATGTATTGTACACAGCTAGGATAGATGGGTTGATCTCAAAGAGGGATCCCACATAGGCCACAACATATCGTCGAAGGAGGTAGAAATCCCGTCTGGCATCCCCGAAAACTCTATCATGCCGTCCAAGTTGATGTTATTGTTGTTCAGACAAGTTTCTGTGTTTATTTCGGGCAGCTGCTTGCTGTAAGTGGCTTCTCCGCCGACAAATCTTCGACGCGCGCGCTGTATTAGATCGATTTGAATACTCGCGCCCATACGAGACCTCACAAGTAGGGTTGGATCCGCCCTTGAAGGCCATTTGAACTTGCTAATATACTCGATGATATCGCAAATCCTGTTGTAGTGATCGCCTTTGGAAATTGAAAGGGACGAAAGTATGTACCAAGCTCGACTGATTGCATTTTCAGCTTCTGTATCATCGTCCACCCGGGAATTCAACCTTCTCGTGAGCTGTAGCAACACAAACGTGGCCAAGATTATATTTGCAACATCCGAAGAAGTCCAAAAGTGCGGTATATTCGATGTTGAATGTTCTAACATATGTAAATCATCGGAAGATCTGTAATCTGTCGTCTTCACTTGACATGAGACTGCTATCAGTCGCAGAGCAGCGGTATAAGACTTGGCCAGATATGAAGCGACAGAGGCTCGTGAAGGGAAAGTTTTCGAGCTACTGTTTGTAGCCCTGTCTTCTGTTCTTCCGTCTGCTGGTCTGTCGGATCGGAGGAATGCATACGAATAAAGTCTAAGCTTGACACCAAGAAAGCTCCGTTCGACATCATTCGACCAGGTTGCTTTATGTCTTATTTCGAATTGCTCGAGCTCTAAGTCAGCGGCTTGTATCACAGGTAGTGGATCAGAGGTGAGTCCATCTGCAGTAGAGACATTTTGACCCAGCAAGTTCGAAAATGTAGCTTCCTGGTGTGCCAGGTTCAATAACTGACGGAATGTAGGATTACAATAGTCGTCACCGTTTAATGCTTGCATGACTGCGTAGTCTGGCCTGATGGTGGCTGGGACACCAAGTTTGGAACTGATGCTACACTAGATTGTCAGTAATAAGTCACGAAATTTGAATGAAGAGGTTGCTAGACTTTTGATTTACGATGAAGCAAGCGAGCCATGTGTTCCTCATCGATGCGAGTAATTCTTGATCAAACCCCGTTCCCATGACAAATTCATTGAGATGATTCGGTCGATGAAGGCCAAGATGTTGTGCTTTGTGTGTAGCTACCCCACAGTATGTCCAGGAAGGGTCATCAGTAACCGCCCCGAAAGGCATTGTCCAGACGCAGAGCAGTATATATGCTTGGACCAAAGGTAGCGAAGGAGTCTCTCGGATAGCACTGTCCATAGCGAGGCGCCTAAGCGGCCAGTTAAGACTTTTCCGGAAGTCCTTGCATTCTGGGACGGATCTTGATGATACAGCAACCAATGCCCAAAATAATAGGGAACAGGTTCCGCAATCATGTAGTACTTTTTCTTTTGACTGTAAAAATTGAAACCTAGGATGGTAATATCGGAAGTATCTGCTAGGAGTTAGCACGGTGATAAACACGCAAAAACAAGCAAGAACAGCATACTCGTCCAATATCCTCATGAATAGCTCGCGAGATACAACAATCTGCTCCAAGGTTTGAACGTCTGGAATTGACGAGGAACCTGTCCCTAGCTCAGTAGTGGAAGACGGAGCCTGTGCATCATGCAGCTCTTCCGAATTATCTGCAACTGAGGACGTATCCGAAGGATTTTTTACACAGCTGACATTGGCAGATGAGTCCCATAAATTGTTACGAAGTATATGGATTTCTCGTTCTAGTTCATCTAGACGGCTATAAATCTTAATAAACGTCAATCTTGATTAATGGTTTCTGGGACCGCTTGCTCACTCTCTTCTTGCGCTCCTTTTGAAAGACGGGTTAATAGAGCAGTCACGGCCAGCCCTGTGGCATCGGGAACACGGCGCTGGAAATCTGTCTCCAGAATCGCATCGCAGCTAAGAGAAACTATGCATGAGTGTCTGTGTATCGGAAGTAAGGTTGAGGATATCCGCAAAAGCACCTACCTTCATTTGCCGGCAGTGGACACATGCCACTCCTTTGTGTCTCTTGCTCGGCGGGTTCATTTTATTTCAAGAGGGTATAATATTGCAACAACAAAAATAAGAAGACTTAGGGGAAAGCAATATGTTCAAAAAGTAGGTGAACCTAGAAGGAAAAAAATCTTCATGTCGTGCCTTGGATTGCATTTTGGGCCTGCATGATGTAATTGGCCTAGGCCACATTGTCACCAGACCGCTGCTTGGGCCACCGGGCTGTGTGCCACTGATTGGCAACAAAGAAACTGCCGCTTAAAGTTCAAAATTGGTTGCGGAGTAATGTGTACTCCGTGGCGGTTTCACGGATGATGCACGGACAAATTATATTAATACATCACCCAACTAATAACGACTCTATACAGCATCCAAGGACTGCCTCACCAGCAGCTCTCATGCAGACAGGGAATGTCGGGAATTCGACGAGATTTTAGTCGCTTGCTGTGCGTTATTTCCTTGCTCGCCGCCAGTTGATGTGCCTACGGGAGGAGGACGGTGGGGCCTGAGGTCGCGCACTGGACTGGGTTTCCCCAAGATCCGAGTGCCACCTAGTGGGGCGTCTCCGATCAATCGGGTCGCGGACGCTTCCGTTACGGCCAATCGGATTACGCACGGTGAGCGGGGCCTACTGCAATCCCCACACTTGAGGGGTAGCACTTGTTACCTGTATAGGCTTAGCTTCCGTCTGAGACGGATGTGTTTGCAGCGTTTGCATTGTGCCGAACAGCCGACGCCCAAAAGGGAGATTACCCAATCAATCAAACAATCATCAATCATTCTATTGGCTGCCACTAGGTAATCATGACTAAGTACATGCCCTTGAGTGAACAGACATATCGCACACAGAGAGCCAGCTTGTGCTAATACCAGAACATAAAGTCTGGGTGGGCATCGCAAATCTCCTCCAAACTCAGAGCCCGCTTTGCAGCCGCCTCCTCGCTGTCCTGATCGCGTCTCTTCCGGTCATTCGCACGTCTCAAGTAGAACATGAACAGCAATGTGACAACAGGCGCAACAACCATCGCACCTAGCGAGAGCCCCTTACCCCTGTAATAATGGGGGGCGTCGTCGAAAATTTCAGCTCCAAGGAGCGCAAAGCTTTGTCCAAAGACCATAATAAAGGCCAATGAGCCGGCTCTGCTCGGAAAGTCAGCATTTGTAGGAGGATAATCAGCAACATCACGACAAATCTCATACCTCTTTGTAAATCCAATGATATTGGAATTCATCCAGCTCTGAATCAGAACTACGGCGGGGTATGTACCCATTCCCACCAAGAATGTACTGCCAAAGGAGAGATTTCTAGACTTGCTGACGATCAGTAGCAACCAACCCACGGCTGCTATTACAAATGAAATTATTAGGAAGATGCCTCGCTTCCTTAGTCTATCTGATAGGGTGCACACCACAATAGTGAACACTCCGGTCACAACATACACTGGAATTGTCAACAGCTGGGTCCGTAGTGTCGAAAATCCAAGCAGATGAAGCATTACCGGCAAGAAGCTTGAGAAGCATGCCAGACTGATATTCATGCACGAATACAAAAACGCTGCATGACTTTGTTAGCGGTGTTAATATAGATGATGGTTCTCGCGAATTTACCATAAATCCACACTTTGGGATCCTTGACCACAGCAATGAGCTGCTTCGGCTCAATCTTCGTATGAGCTACATTGAAGGCTTCCCTTGACCTGCGCATGGCTATCTCCCGTTCTTTCTCGGAGAACATCCATGTGGTCTTCTCGGGCGTAGAAGGAAGCAGTGCTAGAACAACAAAGCCCATGCCAACGGACATAATTCCTGGGAATCCTTCGTAAGCATGCAGTCAAAAGCAAGTCTGTATATCTGACACGCTCACCTTCAATGAGAAAGATCCATCGCCAGGCGCCCCATCCGTGTACGCCATTCAAATTATACTCGACGCCGTACGCTATTAGACCATTCATGCTACCGGCGACAGCCATCATGGAAAAAAAGATGGCCCCCCGAGTTGCAAGCTCTTCTCTTCGATACCACAATGTTAAGTATAACGGCCCTGCCTGTATGAATGCTTCAATAGCGCCGATCATCACCCGGATGCCGGCAATTGACTGCCAGTTTTTCGCCTCGCAAAGCCTAAATCCCGCAGCGATTACATTAGACATGCACATCGACGACTTCTTCCATGGTCTTACAGAGTAGTTCCCAGCCCCCACCCAATCATGGCACATCCCAGCTGGATGTTCGGTCCAATCATTCTCATGAAGAGATTCCCAGGAATCTGACAGACAATGTAGCCGATGTAAAAGAAGGCAACGCATTGACTCAGCTGGTGGGCAGTGATGTGTAATTCATCATTCATTCCCGCAACAGCAGCATTACTGATGTCTCCTCGGTCCTGGACAAATCAGCTAACATGGCACTGTGTAAAAGCTGCGATAAAAAAAAAAAGAAAAAAAAAAAAAAAAAAACTCACAAGAGTAGCCAGAAAGTACATCACCGCGATGAGTGGTAAGACGATTAGGTCAAGCTTCAGCACGAAACGTCGCTCAGCTCGCATCTCCTCGGCAGAGAGGACTGCCATTTCATGCATATCGAGGCCATTCTTCCCGAACATTGACGTTTCTCGTCTGATATGCGCATGTTCAATGTCCTCCACTCTTGTGTCGTCCAGTTTTTCTAATGACTTGTCCATGTTTGCGCCAAGACAGACTTTTTGACAGTCGATCGTGAGAAGATGCCTGCCAGAAACACTGTTTCCTTGTTCGTATTAATAGGATTTTGATAATGTGGGGCCCCGCATGTTGTTTTTTGATCCTGATCCTGGGGTCGACGTCACGGTCATGGGTTGCCGCATCGCCGGGCTCATGCTTCGGCAGCGATTCGGCGTCTTTGCGAAGTCGGCCCAGCACTGTAAAGTAGTTTACATGGAATATGGACAGATGTTACACACAGACTCAGAACGAATGCATGCGGACTCAGTGTAATGTGGCACAGCACGTCGGTCTTCGGTTGCGATTGGAACGCTCTACTTCGCCGGTATCTACCTTGTTTTTTTTTTTTTTTTTCCTTTTTTTTTGGCGGCAAATGGTCTACAGGCAACGGTATTGGATAGCTGAATTTGCTTTTGCATTCACGTGTGACTCCTCTACATCACCTGCTACAAAATTGCCATTGCATTACATGGGCTGGCCACTCCACCCGGCACATCCAGCGGTTGACTGGTCAAAAAGAAAGACCATTTCTGCTTACGCTTGCATTCGGCGGCCAATTGCTCCAAATTCCATAATTCGCCGATCGGCATACCCCATCCCGATAAAAAGATTTCATGCAAAGCATGCTTTAAGGGGTCTGTCCTGCTAGGAGGCCAGGCCTCGTAAGCGTTTGCGTCGCCAGCTACAGCAGCAAACCCCATATCCCAGTGCCATTTGGTCACCTCCACCGAGTTTTCAACGCCTGCAAACGCTCGATCTTCCTTACCTCCCAATGCGATCTTCTCTTCTTCGGACCGATGCAGGTAGTCTTCGACCCAGCCGGACCGAATTAGCAGAATGTCGCCGACCCTAAAGTTGGTACCCTGATCCTCCGCACATTTCAATAGCTGGTCCAAGGTTATACGATAGGTGCTAAAGGCGTCATATGAAATCCCATTCTTCACAGCCCAAGACCGAAAGTCTAGAAGCACACCCCTACCCGCTATCGCCTTGCGCGCGAGATCTAGCATCGGTCAGTGAGAATCATGTAACTTTGATTGGGTTCCTGCGCACTATGTACTCCTCCGCGCGTCGTTGGTGAAGGACCGCTAATCTCATCTTGAGAGAAACCGCCGTAGAACTTCCTGCTTGCCTGGTAGGGTAAGTGTCTTAACCCATCCCATTGACTAGAGCTCTGTGTGTTGATGTCTAGTTCGTCGTCATTTGAATTGGGCTTCGCAACAAAACGATGCTTAAAAGCACCCCTTGCTGGGTTCATGGGCGTGATTGGAATGTTCAGCGGAAGACTGAGATGGGAAGAGGTTAGAAAACATCAAAAATTCCAGAGGTATACACGCGAACTTGAGACTGATAGTTTCTCCTGTCACAATCTCCGACTTGGCGGCAAGCACCGTCTCTGGCCTTAGCAGATTTAGAGTTCCTAATTCATCTTCATCACCATACAGACCCCATGCCGAGTAGGGGGGGTGGTCTTCACTCAGTGGAAGAGCTTCGAATGCGGGCCGCGTGGACATGGTGCAGATATATTTGCGCAAGGTGGTGGAACTGCTACATACAGAAGCATTCGGGGATGTAAATGCGCGAGAGGGACTATGTAGTTTATATGACTATGATGAAGCATTTCCGTACTTTGCCGGTCTCTGTGACAACAAGATGCGTACGTGGCGCCTCCTAATTTCGGCTAAATCGTAAATGAGGCATCCGAATACCACGACAGATCGAGAACCATCACTTGCGTAAACATCTTGACGTGGGCTACAATGCGTGCTCGCCACTGGAGATGCAGACAAATCGATTGTGATCCGTAGATGCAAGGGAAAGAAAGCTCCATACGCGCTGTCGGGCCGACTCGGCTCGAAGCCGAATTCGGCCTGGGACGATCGCGTTGCCCCCTCAATTCAATAGCGGAGAAAAACTTGCAAAGTAAGAAAATAGTGGCAAACATTGGTCTCCGGACTATCCGAGGTCTTGATGATGTAGCTTTTATATAATTGTGCGTGTGGATGTGCCTGTGTGCTGAAAATATCCATTCATTACTACCGGACAGCAAGTCTCTTTCCGTCACCAATACATATGCTGTTACGACGCTCTCTTGACTTTCAACGATGAAGGACGAATTGAGGATTTTGACGCCGATTGGCATGTTGGGCTATGGCTTCAGCGAAGAGCTATTCTGGTCTGCGCTCGACGATGGCGTCGATGCGGTCATTCTCGACAGTGGCTCAACAGATAGTGGGCCGTCGAAGCTCGCTCTAGGTACAACAACTGTGTCTCGCAAGTCTTATGAGCGTGACCTGAGCGTTCTCGTTGCGGCATGCCATTATTACAATGTGCCGTTGCTTATTGGTATGACATGCCCACTGATGCCTGGATATGCAATCATACCTAGGCGTATAGGCCCTTGTGTTGACTCCAAGCAGGTTCAGCAGGCGGCGATGGTGCCAGTCCTCATGTAGATTTACTAGTCGATATCATTGAGGCATGCATCGCGCGCGAAGGCTATCGTACAATGGAAATTGTCCGTATATACGCTGAAGTAGACAAGGATATAGTTACAAGGAACTGGAAGGATGGTTTAGTGACTCCTTGCACACCTGCTGTCCCAGAACTCCAGATTGCAGACATCAACGATGCTACGCGGATCGTCGCACAGATGGGTATGGAGCCATATCTAAAGGCCATGAATGAGAACCCTAACTTTGACATTATTATCGGCGGAAGAGCGTATGATCCAGCGCCTTACGCGGCATTTTGCGTATGGAAAGGCTTTAGCGACCTGGGAATTGCCTATCACATGGGGAAAATCATGGAGTGCGGTGCATTGTGCGCAAAGCCTAAGAGCAAGGAGGCATTAGCCATTGTCAGGAGAGATAGCTTCGACATTAGACCCTTGGACTTGAAGGCGAGATGTACGAAAATTTCAGTTGCTGCCCACACGCTGTATGAGAAGAGCCGCCCTGACATACTGCTCGGGCCTGGCGGAGCTCTGGATTTGACCCCTGCTACCTATGAGGAGCTTCCTGACCAGAGGACGGTTCGCGTACGAGGATCCATATTCATTCCAGAGTCACAGTACACGATAAAACTAGAGGCTGCCAGACTCAAGGGCTATCGAAGCGCGTTTATCGGTGGCTTCCGTGATCCAATTCTCGTCTCGCAGATAGAGGACTTTATTCAACGGGGCGAAAAAAGACTGAATGAAATGATAAGCTTTCCTTTCAAATTTGAGGTGCACATTTATGGCAAAGGTGCTGTCATGAAGTCTTTGGAGCCCAATACCAACACGACGCCCAACGAAGTCTGCGTCGTGGGGGAGGCATGGGCAGAGACACAAGAACAAGCAGCCTACGTGACGAGTATGGCCAGAGTTTGGTGCATGCATGGTCCTTACCCTAATCAAATTGCCACTTCCGGTAATTTTGCTATGCCCTTCTCGCCATTTGATATCCCGCTGGGTCCATACTCTGAATTCTGCATGTATCACATTATGCCAGTTTCAGATCCAACCTCTTTATTCGCAGTAACTGTTCATAGTGTTATCGGATCGAACACTGCTAAGGCCCGCAATCCTTCCGCAACTCCTTCTAAAACCGAGAACAATGCTACCAATGGGGTGAAGAAGATCACTCCTCCAAAACCTTCATCAACAACAAATGTGTTAGGACAACCTCCATCCTCCAAGTTCGTCTACCTCGGATCACTAGCTAGTGTTCTTCGATCCAAAAATGCCGGACCTTATGAGACTACATTTGACATCATGTTTCCCGATCGAGCAACCTACGAACAAGTCAAGGAGTCGAACGTTCTGACATCCGAGGCGATATCACGTCTATACAGCATCCCTCCAGAGGACGTGCTTGTCAGTATGTGGTGGGAACCTGCCCTAGCATACAAGGCGACGATCAAACGTCCGACTGTCAGTGCCAGTTTTGGCGAGGCAGATACGCACGGTAGCGCTCAGCATGCGCCCCTGATGTATTTACAAGTTCCAAAACCTCAACCAAAAGGTGCGACATAATCTTCTTTCTTGATGATCTGACTTTTGGAATAGAGTATGCTGACTTGATTCTCTGTTAGGGCTATGTGCGATTCCTAATACCATAGTAAATTGGGCGTTTTGTCTTTTCGTGGAATAGGAATGTTCTCATCCTGCCAGACTATGTTATCTGAATAGACTAGATGCTGTTTATCTCTAATACCACCGTAGGTAACGATTTCTGAACGCGGGATATCAAAAATTAATAGCCTAACGTATTGTATCAACATATAACCAGTTTTGGCACAAGACGGGTTCGACGTGCCTCAGAACCATTGTGCCTCGTGTGACACTGATAGAACTAGGTGGTCGCAATTGTTGCTGGATATGTTCGAAAAGTGGGACGTCCTGCAAGGTTGGTTCGCCGGCGCAAGATGCTTCTCCTGACCGGGCAGAAATCGTTCAGATTCTCAAAGCGCGTATACCTCGGTGCTCCGTGCCTAGATGGGTAAATATATATACCAAGGTTGCTTGTCACTCAGTATTGGCAGCTGATATTATCTGCCACATGTGGATCAATATGTCTATAGTGTCAATATGTAGGGATATATATGTAGTATCAGGAACATTGCTATTTATAACAAATGAGGTCTATTCAACATGTAACTCCTCTTCGCAGCGAGAAATTTCTAGTTCGTTTCACATTCCTCAGCTTCATTGGAATGTAATGTCATCGATCGTACAGTCATGAGGAATATCATGTCAAGCGCAGCCTGATAAACACTTCTGATTATCGTCGTCTTGTTTATCTGGAGTAGCAAGCAATAACGATACCTAGGTACGCGCTTTGCTGGGTGGTTAGCTGTGTTGTAAGTGGCAGGGCACAACGAAAACATACAAATGTTGCTCTGATGCAATCAATTAATAGAACGCCAGTAGAGAGTAATGTTGGCACAATTATCGGAGGCGAAGTATTCTTCACCAAGAACGAACACCGGCAGTGAGGCATCCAAGTAGCCAACATCCGTGATGTAGCACGCCTGTGGTAAACTGCGGACGACACCGTCACCTAGGCTGTCGCTGAGAACGACAACACCATTATCATTGACCTCGGCGGTGACCACCGGCTCGCCACCCTGCACATACAGTTCAAGGTCTGACATGTAGATGGCGTCCCCAGACGCCGTACCTTCAGCGTTGGTGCTGCCGGCAACGTAGCCTGTCTTGTAGCCAGCTAGGTTGCCATCTTCCATGGAGAAATTGGTCGCTTGGCTCTTATCAGAAATAAATTGAAAGACCACGCCGTTGTCGGCCTCGATATTGGGGTCGATGTAGCCCCAGTAGCCATCGAGTTCACTGTTGGAACTGTTCTGAATTTGGAGGTAGCCCGACGTGGATGTGGCCGTTGTGCCGCTATACAAATATCAGTCAGCAAATTCAATTCTAACATGTTCATGTATGCCTGAGTCCTGAAATGAAGACGTGTACACATACCTTGCATATGCCTGAGAGGACATACCCAGCAGGGTGGAGAACAAGCAGATAGAGGCTTTCATAGTGAAGCTCACGTTAACAAAGTTTAGTATGTGAGTAATAGCTTTTGAGTATGGATTGTAAGTACTTCCAGATTATAAGATAATTGCATAGCAGGCAGGATCGCTCGCTTATAATCACCTTCGCTAGCGACAAACGTATTCCGTGCTTATCCCTGAACAGTACTAAACAGCAAGCCTGCGCAAACATGCCCATAATCCATGACGAACAACTCACAACCCTAGCCGTATTCGAAAGCGTGTGGATCGCAAGCCATGCCTTTCTGGGCTAAATGCGTGAAGCTATTTGGTCCACCTCAGCTGCTGAGATGGCGCGTGGTGCTGAGAACGAGATCGATAGAACGCCTATAAAATCCACTGCTCCGTGCAGAGTACGGAGTACAACGTGGATCCCGGATAGTTTACTTCCTAGGTATGGAAGTCCGTTCATTACAAGGTCTTCATTCAAAGAGCATGTTGCAGTCCAATGAATATGGCGAATCGCCACCCGCTAAAAGGCGCCTGGAACATTCATTCACTACTAGTCTAGGCCTAGACTGCCCCTCCAGAGCTGGCCTAGGCACCCCAACAGCACGTTTCAAAGTCCTTACATTGAATCTTGAATGGTGATGCCAAGTAGACTAGTAGATCCCAAAATATTGTGATGTGCTGCGCTAAGTTTAAGTCCAACACTATCAGCCCCGGTCCAGTTCTGGGCTAAGATGTCAGCCTGATGTAACCTTGGAACATGAGGATGAGTTCGAATTTAATGCGGTGAGGATATAGTTACTTATGCAGCGTGATGATATTAACGATGTAACGAAATTTCCTTGAAAGAATTCTGTCCTGCAACCAGCTACTGTCACCAAGCCGTAAGCAACTACTCTACATAACTAAATGCCCGATTTCGGCGATCATTCTCCTTTCTATTGAATAGAATTGTCCGGACAAATAATGGGAAACAGCGACAGTGGCGACCACAGTACATAATCCCCCAATCTCTGTGCATAAAGGCATCAGTGGGCGACAAATCCTGCTCCTAGGGAAGTCATCTTCTTACAGTAGCCTTTGAGTCTCGCCGTGACAGTGATAGATTTTGATTTCCACTACTATCTATCATTAGTTTGTGTTGAACCAAGGGATGGTTTTGTCGGAAACTTCGGTTAGGTTACCGTCGAGTATAGCTAGGATAGCTATTAATAGGCGAAATTAATAGGCTTCTAAGATTAAAAGATCTAATAAGATAAAAGAAATAAGAATAAGGCTTCTAAATATCCTAATCAATAGAAGATTATATATTTAAGTTATTATAGTTAATTCAAGATAATAGAAAAAAACTAAATATAGAATAAATAAGCATTCTTATATAACTTTCTTCTATTATAGCTATCATAAAGAATCCTATAATTCTTATATAACAATTATTATAGCTATTATAGTCTTTACTCTAATTTCTATAATATTTTAATCTTAGTAGTTATAGATAATCCTTTATTTTATTATATATTAGTTTCCCTTATCTATTAACTATAATATTCTAATTCTCTAATAATCCCCTCCTCTAAAGACTGGTATCTTAATAGCTTAATAAATAACTTATATTCCCTAGATATATAAGAAATTAATTTTAACTCCTAATTTTTTATAATATATAATCTTATAATTTTATATTAATGTCGGAAACTTCGGTTGGGTTACCATCGAGTATAGCTAGGATAGCTATTAACGGGCGAAGTTAATAGGCTTCTAAGGTTGAAAGGTCTAATTAGATGAAAGAAATAAGAATGAGGTTTCTAAATATTCTAATTAATAAAAGATTGTATACTTAAGTTATTATAGTTAATTTAAGATAATAGAAGAAAATTAAATATATAGTAAATAAGTGTTCTTATATAGCTTTTCTCTATTATAATTATTATAGCTATTATTCTATTTGCTCTATTCTTATAGATATAATTAATATAGTTATAGCTCTATTGGCTTTGTTACTTTAATCCTAATAGTTATGGATAATCCTTTATTCTATTATGTATTAGTTTCTCTTATTTATTGATTGTAATATTCTAATTCTCTAATAATTCTCTTCTCTAAAAATTAGTATTTTAATAGCTTAATAAATAGCTTGTGTTCCTAGATATATAGAAAATTAATTCTGGTTTTTAATTTTCTTATAATATATAATCTTATAATTTTATATTAATTATATCTTTAAAGTAAAATGCTAATAAGAATAATCTTATGTTATATATTAAGCAGTCTAGCATAGAGTTACTCTTATCTTGTTTTTATTGCTCTTCTTTAAATAAAATTTATATAAAGTCAAAAATATTATTATATTATAGTAAGTATATAAAAAATAATTATTATAAGTATATTCTAATAACTTTCTTTAATCTTATATAAAAAAATTTCTTTATACTTAAGAATATCTAGAAGAAGATAGTAATAAAGTAAATACTAAAATTAAAGTTCTTCTAGTAAAATATGCTTATCTTAATAAATAATAGAAGTTATTGTAAAAATATACTAATTAATTTATCTAAATAGATATTAAGGATGTTAAAGAGCTAGAGAGATTAGAAAAAATAAAAGAAGAAATAAAAATAAAATAAATAAAAAAATAATAAGAGGCTGAAGAACTTTTTACTATTATATTTACTTTATAAAATAATAATTTTATTCTTAATATCAACTTTAATTCTTTTATTTTTCTTAATTATATTTTTATTTCTATTCCTAAATCTTTTTAAAGCAATTTAAGTGCTTAATAGATTCTTATATATCTTTTTCAAGTCTATATTCTTTCTATCTTATAAAATAATAGATATATTCTTTTAACATTATATTCTTTATTATCTACTATTTTATCTTTATTTATTAGATTAATAATTAATTCTAACAATAAGATATAAAATATTAGATATATTTACATTCTTATTAATAGCTAAAGTTTATAATTATTATTTATAAGTTTTTCTTTAATAATAAACAGCCTAAATTTAACTATATCAAATTTATTAACGTAACCGGACACCCACCCGGCCACGACACCAACCCGGCCACTCCCTCCGGAAAACGCGCTCTATATTATTATTAGATTTTCAACGCGTCGTTATGCCACTAATTCACAATAAAAAGATGTCAAATTCAAAGGAAATAGAAGGCCACATTTTATTAGTTATTTCTAATTTAAAAAATAGATAAATTCATAATATTTGTTAAGCTTTAATTATTTATTCTATTCCTCATATAACTCTTTAAGATTAACTCAATAATATCTAATTAAAGAGTAAAAAACGCGTAAATAAATATAAATTAATAGAAATTAAAAAAAAGTTAATTACTAAATAAATATTTAATCTTAATAAGTATAAATTACCTTCTTAATTTACTCTTATATAAGATATAGTTAATTTACTTCTTTCTCAACACAGAAATAAACAAGTTAGTAAAAGATAGATTAATTAATTTATTAATTACTATCTAGAGCTAAAAATATAATTTTTATAATAATATAACTATAAGCAGGCTAAATACAAGAATATTAAAATAATCTAAAAATATTTTAACTACATATAAGAGACTATATAAAAACATAGAATCTTATCTAATAATATATACAACTTTAATAAGACTGGCTTTATTATAAGATTTTATACATCTATAAAGATTATTATAGGTAATAATTAATATAAAAGACCTTATTTATTATAACCTAAAAATTAAGAATAGATTATTATAATTAAGATAGTTAACTTTACTAATTAAATCTTACCCTTATATATAATCTTTAAAGTAATAACTTTTTTCTAAAAAAAATGATTTAAGACTCTTCCACAAGATTAGAGACTTAATATTAGTAATAATAGATAGACAATAAATAAGATTAGGATAAATTAGCTTTAAAATCACTTTATTTCTTATATAACTAATTATACAAAAAGTAGATATTAGATATTTATTCTTAATAGCTATAAAAGTTATTTTATTACTTAATTTAATTAAATCTATATATAAAATAATATTATACTAATCTATATACCAGCTCACTCTTTATATCTTTTATAGTCTCTTGATGTGAGCTGTTTTGCTGTTTTAAAATAATAATATAGATAGTTAGTTGAGTAGCACATATAACTTAGATATAATTATATTAATAAGTATAACTTCCTTATAGCCTTTCTAGAAGTTTATATAATAGCATATAAAGTTAAAACTATTTAAAATAACTTTATAATAACTAGATTAATACCTTTTAATCTAGATTAAATCTATTAATAACTTCATATTTAGTTTCAGACCCTAACACCCCCTTTAAGAAGTGATAATATCAATTTATAATCTTCCTACTTTCAAATATTTTAAAATCTACGCCATTTCAAATACCAATTAAATATAGTTAAAAAGCATATAGCTTAACAGCTAATAAGCCTATTAAATATAGTTAATTAAGTAATCAAGTAAATATCTAAAGCATATAAAATAATAATGAATAAGCTACTAATTATATAAAAAGAAGTATATGATTTACAGGCTATAAATAAGAAAGAGAAGCAAAAAAAAAGATAATTTAGAGTTTAATTATCTTATAAAGGCTCTCTTACTATACAAGAAGCTCAGACTCTTATAAATAATTAAAATAAGGCATCTCAATCTCCTCCAGCCGCCCTAGCTAAATCTAAGGCTTAAGTCTCTCAACCACGCGTATAAGCGCTACTAAAGTGTAGTGGATGTAGAATTATTGGACATAAAATTAACAGATGTCCTAATCGTACTACTGGTTAAATTTTTGTATATAATTATTATTTTAGTTAGAAATTTCGGGGTAAAATTAATATAAAGCGCGTTTTCCGGAGGAAGTGGCCGGGTTGGTGTCGTGGCCGGGTGGGTGTCCGGTTACGTTATTTAGTCTTATACTTTTAACATTAAAATTTTTTAATTTTAGTATTTATTATAAAAAATAAACTCTTTTCTTTTTTTTAAATGCTAATGCATCCTCATATTTTTTATTATAATATCTCTTT